GGTGCAAAAAAAATCAAAATATTGAGAAAATCGCTTTTAAAGTTGTCCAAATTAAGTTCTTGGCAATGCATATTACTAATCAAAAATGAAGTTTTTATTTATTTACGGTAGGAAATTTACAAAATATCTTCATGGAACATGATCTTTACTTAATATGCTAATGATTTTTAGCATAAAAGAAAAATCTATAATTTTGACCCATACAATGTATTTTTGGCTATTGCTACAAATATACCCCAGCGACTTAAGACTGGTTTTGTGGTCCAGGGTCACATATGTGCTTTATTAGTACTAATAAACAGCCAGTATGCTGGTAGTATGCATGCTAGTTAATAGTGAGAATTGGTCCTTAAAATAAAATGTTACCAAATTGATTTTAATTTAAGATTCATGAAATTACACTGGTATTAGTATCAGTTACTTGATTTTTCATGAAATCACGAATCACGATGATCTTAAAATTGCGACAATAGTTGTTTACGCTGATTACATCACTCATGCTGCTGAAAGTTCAGCAGTCGTTCTGGTTTTTCTGTGTGTTTAGTGGCAGAAGCTGATGGTGCAATATGGTGCTGTTATTAACTGGCAGAAACACGCATTCATATGGATCAGCAGATATCCTTCCACATTCGCTGACAGCTCAACTGCTCGCATTTCCCACTGAGAATGACTGGAATTGAGATGTTGAGGAGTCATCAGGCATTGAGTCAGTCGAGAAAGCCCCTCTCTCCTGCTTTAGACGCATGATTCAAGATTCGCTCCTCTCACAGGCCCGTGATTCAGGAACACACACTGACTGAACCATGTGAATTTTCTGTCCCATGGAAACCATGTTTATGCTCAACAATCTTAATGGCCACTTAAACTATTTACGTCGGAATGGAAGCGGATCTGCTGGTTAAACAATAGCCTATACATACAGGAATAAAGTGCCAGTAATATCATTCATTTAGGCAATAACACCAGGTTTGGTGGGAATTTGAACAGCATGATCAGTTTTGCTCGCATACACAATTCTGTAGGAATTAATGTGTTAGGGAACAATTCAAGTGCATTAAAATTAAATGAAATCAAATAATGTCTCAGGTGCGTGATCTACAGACAAGAGTACGCACAGTTTGCAATGAGTGTCAGTTGAATTTAATGTACAAAATACTTTTAATTAAGCAGAAAGGTTACAGCATCTGTTATACTGTGTCAAATCCAAATAAAGGTTTATTCGATTTGGCATCCAAGATCAGATGTGCTTATGTTTAATTTGTATCGTTGACAGTCATTACCAGGGGGTTCGACTCAAGGAACATGTGAAGAGGCCAATAAAGATGAAAACAAGGAGAAGAACAGATATCCAAACATCTTACCATGTAAGAATTCTCTATCATTCTCTTCATCTTTTCTTCTTCTAGCTGATGTTTTGTCAAAGGCTTGAGACAAAACTCACAAAAAAAACAAAAAAAGTATATATATATATATATATATATATAGCTTTTGTCTTGTAGACACTTTCTATGAGGGTGTGAGGAAGAGCAATCAAATACGTCTATTTTTAGAAATAAACATCATTTTTCGTCTTTCCTGTTATCCAGATGACCATTCCAGAGTGATTTTAACACCGATCGATGGAGTCCCATGTTCAGATTATAGCAATGCTTCTTATATCGATGTAAGTGGTTTGTAATGCTGTAGAAATGCACTGTGAAAATCCAATGCATCAATGTTCAAACATGCATTTACTTATTCATATGAACTTATTCAAAATATAGTTCTGGAGCATGTTAATGTAAAACATTGAGAAACAAAACCATATGTTTTGTTGTAATGCTTTGCATCATTTAGCAAATTAGTGAAGCAAGATATTTGCACCCGTTTGCATTTAAATGTTGGTTTCATAAGCTAGTGCTTCTTTCTTCCCAGGGTTATACAGATAAGAATAAGTTCATTGCAACACAAGGTGAGTGCATCTGAATGTAAAAATAAGATTTAGTGAGCAGTCACATGAATGACAACAGTTTCAGTAGCTATATAAGCAGACATAATTAAACTCGATAGAATGACCTCTGTGTTTCAGGTCCGAAACAGGACACGGTTGCAGACTTCTGGAGAATGATATGGGAACAGAAATCAGCTACTATTGTAATGCTAACGAATCTGAAAGAGAGAAAAGAGGTATGTGTCCTTTTTTGGATTTCTGGTGTGTTTCCTTGTGTTGGTCATGGGGTCTGCTAAATATTGGTGTATAGGAGATGATCTTAAACCTTCCTGTTGTGTTCAAAATCTGGGTACAACTTCTGTGTTGAGGGTCAAATTGACCCATATTGGTTTTCATGCAATTTAAAGATTCATATAAAAACGGAAAACTTCTATTGTAGCTTATCAGACTAAAATATGTGAGGAATGTAATAATTCCCTTTTAATTTGATTATTTCTGTTGTGTTATGGTTCAATTGGACATTTTTATGTTCAAAATTAGCTGCACAATTTTTTTTTGCACACTGAGTTTCAAATAACTACAAGTATAAATAGTATCTTTCATTATTTGTTTAGTAGTAGTAGTGTTTCTTGCTATTTGTACTTCCTTTGGGTTCTCAAACCCTTGCAAGGGTAAAATAGGTTTCTCACACTTTTTTTTTCAGTGCTGAATCAGTCTAGTAATTGAGATCCAAAACATTAGCAACCAAAAACAACCACTGACAAGCTCATCTAGATAAAGAAAGAGTGACTTTTCCTTGGATGATTTAGAAGATGAGTCTTATTTTCATCTTGAAAAGCTCTCAAGTATTTCATATTTTAGTGTTTGACAACCTCCAATAACAATTTTTGTTTTTTTTACCTGACTCTGATTTTTTGGGAAATTGCATGGAAACCAATGAGCGTCAGTAAGACACATCTATGTGTGGAAATTTTGCGTGCACATTCATGGCCCTAAATGAGAAATATTCACCAAATTTCAAGAAGAAATAGTTTTTTTAAATAAACCAGTATTTCGAGTAGTTTGAAAATCGAGTTTGAGTCAAATTGACCCACAACACAACAGGAGGGTTAAATAAATCAGATTTCTGAAAGCTACATTAAATGTAAAATTGTATTAATTTAATTTAAAATGTAAAATGTAATTCATTTTAAAATTCTCACTTGTATAAAAAATAAATGTAATTTTGAAATTTAAACAAAGCCTCTTACTGCTTATCGTAGCAATACATTAACATTATATTACATATATGCATTTGCTTGATGCTTTTACCCAAAGTGTTCCCTTCAAACCAAAGTGCACAACATTGCACAGCCTTTCATTCTTACTCCATATAGCTTAAAAAAGCATCAGAATGCAAATAAAATGACTACAGAGCCACTAAATTATATTTGATTTCACTTCAGTGCCTTTCTATAAACCTGATTTGTTGATCATCTTCAGTAATAAGCCACAAGTGTCTCCGTTTCGATCGTCTCTGATGTTCAGATGTCACAGGACTCCTCTGTCTCTCCTCTCCATCACGGCTGTGAGCGTCTCTAGAAAGACGAATCAATAAGACACAGAACGGAGAGGAGATTAAAATCAGCTTTGGGTCTCTGGGCTTGGAATCGATGATTTTCATAATGGCTGATAAAGCTCTCTCTGGCCTTAACCTAATTAGTCACAAACTCTCATTATGAGAGATTTATCCTGCGCTCTCGGGCTGGATAATGCTGATTGACAGACAGACTGTTTTTAAGAGCTCAGATTAGCATCACGGTGTCTTAGAAGTCACCTTTACTACTCTAATGCACTTACAGCTGCTCAGTGCCAGTGTTGGACTGATTTACTCTACAGGATTGAGATGCAATGCATTTATGTTTATCTACAGAACATCATGTTTTGACCTTGTATCGTGTTTTCTGTTTTATAATGATTAGCAGATGATGTTCATGTCTTTCTGTTTTCTCAGCACTATGTAGCTTTTATTAATTGCATTAACAGACATTGTTACATTTATATATTATATTGATTACACTATATTGATGTACATTCAAATAGTGTATTATTTATTGCCTTTTCAGATGATTTTCATGTTTGAATGTTACGTATTAAACAATATGTATGTTCACTTATTAATATGTCAATATCAATCAATAGTAATCATTTTTGTATTTGAAAGCAATATTAGCAGCAATATTTTTACCATTAAAGCATTACTATTTGTATTTTTTATTAAGTAATTTTTTTACTTGGTAATATTAAAATATTAAAAAAATATTAAGAAATACACAAAAATAATAGCAGCATTCATTCATTCATTTATACCAAGTACAAAAAAACATTTATTTTAACAGTAATACAATTTTTAAAAAGAAAGTAAGAAATAAAGTCAAATAATTGTAACTATTTTAAGTATGCTTATTTAATACAAGGACATTTTTTTTCTAAATATTAATAAAATTACAAAAGAAATTAAGAAATACACTAAAATAATGGTAACTATACTAGCAGCTATATTTTCTGCTACCAAAGCAAAGCAGGTTGGCTGTATTTAGCTTGATTTTTATTTTATTTTATTTTATTTTATTTTATTTTATTTTATTTTATTTTATTTTATTTTATTTTATTTTATTTTATTTTATTTTATTTTATTTTATTTTATTTTATTTTATTTTATTTTATTTTATTTTATTTTATTTTATTTTATTTTATTTTATTTTATTTTATTTTATTTTATTTTATTTTATTTTATTTTATTTTATTTTATTTTATTTTATTTTATTTTATTTTATTTTATTTTATTTTATTTTATTTTGTTTTATTTTATTTTATTTTGTATACAAGTGAGAAAAACATACAAAATAGATAAAAATTAATTAAGAAGTAAACTAAAATAATGGTAGCTTTTTATGTAATTATTTATAATTACATTTATTCAATGCAAGCAAGAAAATATAAATGTAATATTAATACAATTTAAAAAGAAAGCAAGAAATAAACTAAAACAAAGAAAACTATTAGCAGCTAAATTTTTGCAGTTGCAGGTTAGCTGCAATAAAAAAAAATTATAATAATAAATAAATAAGATGTAAGATACAAAATAAACTAATGGTAACTTGTAGTATAAATGTGCTGTGTTTGTCTCTGTAGGATAAGTGTCATCAGTATTGGCCTGATCAGGGATGCTGGACGTACGGTAACGTGCGTGTTGCTGTGGAAGACTTTACAGCACTGGTGGACTACACCATACGCAAATTCTGTGTGCAATATGTAAGTCTGAACACACTCATGCAAGCTGCAGATAGGATGTCTCCTGCTGTTATATGCATATGATTCTGTAGGGGATTTTCTCTGCTATTTTCAAGTGCGTGTATATGTGTGTTTTTTTCCTGTATCAACACACTCTCACCCGTCTCTGTGTCCACCGCAGCAGGCCAGCGACGGCACTAAAACACCCCGTCTGGTCACGCAGCTTCACTTCACCAGCTGGCCTGACTTCGGCGTTCCCTTCTCTCCCATCGGCATGCTCAAGTTCCTGAAGAAGGTGAAGCAGGTGAACCCGTCGTACGCCGGGCCCATCGTGGTGCACTGCAGGTGGGTTGTGTTTCAGCGTGACTGTTGTACCCTTAACGTAGACCAGAATATCAGGCTAGAACTTGAGCTGTGGAGAACGACACGTCTGGTGTGAAGTCTGATCATTTAAATGTGAAGTGTGACACGTTTTGGTCTCAAGATCTTCATGCGAAGATGATGTGTTGACCTTATGTTGTTGTCTCTATATTATAATGATTAGCTCAAAACTTTAATGTCACTATTTTATTCCTTTTATTTGTGTTTTGAACTTTAATTAATAGGCATTATTACATTACTATATTAGTAATTAAAAAAAAATTATTATAAAGTTCAACATTGAAAATGACGTGACATTTTCCGATATCTTATTTTCACAGATGTTCATGTGTAAATGTACAGTACAATACTGATTTATTAATTAACATAATATTCAATGACTTGTTAATGAAAGTCGGTATTAATCATATATATCATTTACCTAATTATACTACTATTTGTAGTACTATTACTAATATTAATGTTAGTAGTACTTAGTATTGCTTTTAGATAGTAGTACTTTAATACTAGTACTCAAAGCAGTGGCAAAACAATAGAAACTATATAATAATATATAATAGAATTTATAATTAAATATTTTTTTAAAACATT